AATAAAGTATGTGAAAAGTATTTAACCAGATGTCAGTACTGGTTTACCGGAAGTTGCAGGGGGCCATGTTGACGACGTGGAACATGCTGATGAACTGATACTCCAGCACCTGACGGGATGTAATCCATTTTGTGGCATCAAGCTGAGACATTTCTTTTTGTATAGTCACAAACTTCAGCACATCATTAATTTCTTTAACAACTTTAACTGCAGCATTTTCAGAATTGATAACCCAGATCTTCACTCACCCCCAGGACCTGGATATCTTTCAATGAATTCTATCTATGCTACACAAGCTCATGTTAAGAATTGAAGGGAATGATAAAAAAAGATCTACAGGCAGGTCATCCAGAGAGGCGAACTTCAACCTACTGCTCTCTATCAGCTGAATCCCTGTCTCTCTGTGAAACAGTTTTGTGGTCTGGTCTGTTCTGATCTGATAGTGAGCTTACCAATAATATTCAAAGTACATCAAACTTGGACAATTGGACAAAATCTAATATTTAACAGCAGGGCAGAAATATGAGACTGACAGTTTTTGTTTCCAAATTAATAGAGGCATCAAGTTCATACAGTGATTCAAAAAGTCATTACAACCTGACTGTCTGCATGCCTAAACCTATCTATCATAATTTCTTATAATTGCAGAAGTTTTTGAAACAAAGAAATGTCCATTTAATATTTAACTTCTTATAATCATCATCATCATCATCTTATAATCCATCTTTCTGTATTATTTTACAAGGCACAATTACTTTTATTGATTCGAACTCGTAATTGTGCCAAATTGTGAGTATATTTAGACAGAAATCTGACCCATATAATAGATGGATGTCAGATTTTTTACAATATAAAGGGAGGTGTTGAAGTTGCTATGTGGAGTTTCTGACTTCTTGCACAATATCTCAAAGAGCTCATAGTACCTTACTACCCCTCCAGAACACTGCGCTCTCACAATGCTGGGTTCCTTGTGGTTCCCATAGTCTCCAAAAGTAGATTGGGAGCCAGAGCTTTCAGCTATCAAGCTCCTCTTCTGTGGAACAAACAACCATTTTGGGTTCGGGAGGCAGACACGGTTAACACTTTTAAGAGTAGACTTAAGACTTTCCTCTTTGATAGAGCTTATAGTTAGGGCTGGCTCAGGTCAGCCCTTAGTTATGCTGCTATAGGACTAGACTGCCGGGAGACCCTCCCTCCCCCTCTCTCTCTCTCTCTCTCTCTCTCTCTCTCTATATATATATTATCATTCCCATCTCTAAACATACATGTCTCATTAATGCATGTTACTAACTAAACTTCTTCCCCGGAGTTTCTGTGCTCTCTCGTCCAGCAGGTTCTCATGGATCATGGCTGCTCCCAGGTCATGGATCGTGGTTCCCACTACTGCCATGGCCCTGCCTGACATCCACCACTACTGTTATTATTACTATTAGTCATAATTCTATGACATTAATATGAACTTGTTTATTATTGTAACATTGTTACATATTACCACCACTGCTACTGTAATTATTGTCTTTCATTGTAATCGTACAATATGTTTCGGTTGCTTTGCTCTGTACATGTGACATCTATTGCACGTCTGTCCATCCTGGGAGAGGGATCCCTCCTCTGTGGCTCTCCCTGAGGTTTCTTCCACCTTCTTTTCCCTGTTAAAAGTTTTTTTTTGTGGGCAAGTTTTTCCCCACTCGAACCGAGGGTCTAAGGACAGAGGGTGTCACTCCCTGTACAGATTGTAAAGCCCTCTGAGGCAAAATGTGTTTTGTGAATTTGGGCTGTACAAATAAAATTTGATTTGATTTGATTTGATTTGACAATAGTGCTTTGGAACAGTTGTTTTTATAAGCAGGTCAATCTTTCTGGCTATTCAATACTTTTATAGTCTTAATGACGACTCAAAGATCTTCACAGTACAGTAGACTTACACATATTCTCTATATGTAGTGCTTTATCTATCAAAATATATCTCATTCACAGGTGTGTCTTGCCGAAGGACACTGCAGAGCTCGGAGTGGACGAGCTGGGAATCAGACACACTGACCTTCCAATTAGTGAATGACCTGCTCAACCTCTTGGGCCAAAGCCAGCAAGCATACAAAATATGAATCTACTATTTGATTTATTTATACTATAATATGATCCTGCCATCTACTGGAGGCCCTTGGTAACTTGCAGTTAGTCCATTCATCACAGTGGTGGTTTGATCAAGCCACATTTCCTGGAAAAGCAGAAAGTTAGTTCTGTCAATGTATCATGCAAGAACTGTCGAGCTGAGATTTAATGTTCAACTGATACGTCCTTATGAATGGGAACGTATAAGAACTTTCAGATCTGACAGGATGGTTGATGTTTATTTTGGTCTTGATAAAGTCTAGCATTGCAAACTTAAAATTATGAAATGTCCAAAAAAGCAGTTAAAGGCAACATTGTCATTTTGCATAGGGAAATTTGCCTTTGATATTTTGGTTGCCAAACTGATGGCTTACATTACTTCCAGGCATCAGGACAACACATTTTCTTCTTTTTTGGTTTTTTTAACAGCAAGGAACATTACCCATGTGGCCACGGTGTGAATGTGTCAACACCACTGAGGCAGGAGCCTTGGATTGTTCTTGTAAAAGGGATGAGCAACAGAATTTAACCATGACGATAGACCTGTGTTGAATATTCACAAACTGTGGTAAAATGGTACGGAAATGATCAAAAAATAACCTAAAACAACTTCATATAAAATTACAATAAAATAATTAAAGTAAAGGGTCTTTGGTTTTTCATTTTTGTTTTTAGATGAGAAAACCAACTTCCATCTGATTTGTTCTCCTTGTTGAAATTGATGAATGAAAATAAATGACAGGTGAGACGGAAGTGAAAGTAAATATTTCAAAAACAGTTATCTGTTCAGAGGTAAAATTGTTTTTATTTTTAGTGACTTTTGGCCATTTCTCCGGAAAAGAAAATAATAACAGTGTGATGAAATGAATGTTTGGACTTGCTTAACATAAATAAAGACATTAAAACACTGCAATGTCTGTATCTCGAGTATTCGGACTCCTTCACTGACCTCAGCTTTTATGTTGCAGCCTTTTACTCTCATTTTATCCCCTCATCAATCTAAACACTATTCCTCATGACAAAGCCAAACATTATTTGATACTTTAACATTTCAAATTGTTCAAATGTTTGTTTTCATATTGTTTGTGCTGACTGTAGATTGATGAGGGAAAATTTGTTAGCATAAGGGTACGACATAGAATGTGAAAAAGTGGACGGCAGTAAATTCTTTCTCAATCCACTGTGTATCCACTAGATATCTTACAAAAACAAGTGTGAAAAGACTCACAGCTTTAAAGATCTAAATTAAAACTAGGATAGATGCCTTGTTCAATTAAGGTGAACTAACTCAAACCGTGTCCACGGAATTAAACAAAAAAAACATGAATACACATTTCAACATTCCAGTTTTCAACAAACCTACACCAGAGAGAAACATGGAGCTTTACTGAATATTAGGCCGGCTGGAAGATACAGTCTTTTGTCATCAAACAAAACGTCCAACCAGGCAAACTGTCCATGATTTAGGGCTCCCACCTTTTTTTTTTTAAAGTCATTTGAACATCTAGCTGTTTTGCCAGTCTCGTTCTCAGGACTGTAGTCAGTAGCTTGAAACAAGCTCATCACAGGTAAGCTGGAAATGACCCAACTACTTCAGACTGTGTGTGTGTG